GTGTGAACGTAGCCTGAGTACTCCCAGCAGCTGAAAAGAATCAGGCAAATATAGAAGTGCAAAAAACTGCAGTTCCTCTAATGGCCACTTGAGGATGGCTCCAAAAGAGAGTTAATCCCCATAGACTGTCATGTTAAAATACCCAATTTTCTACTATTAAAACACTTGCTCACTGTCTGGTACAAAAAAAGCATCTATGGATAGTTTACCAATCACAACTGTACTGTGATTGACTTTTTTAATCTTTATTTGTTTTTATATTAGCAAAGCTTACGCATGTTTTATACTTTCAATTTTTTGGAATAGTCTTACTCCATCATTGGCATGTCCAAAGCCACAGAGAGCTATTTTAACGATTTACACGGTTGACCACAAACAAGCTTAGCTTTCTAAGTTGACTCAACTGGAACAAAAGTCCAAAATCAGAGAGCACACTCTTTCTGGGCAAAGTGCTGACTTTGACTCACTCACAAATCCCATGGCCTCTTTCTAACTCATTTCATCAGGGGCAAAGTCTAAATGTATAAAAAAAAAATAGCTCTTCCAATAGCTCTGTTCCAGCAGAAGAATTATGTAAGATCTCAGCTGGGGTTGAGTACAGAAAATCAAAGGTCCCCGAAGCTGGTGGGCCAATTACAGAATGGCAAGAATGTCCCAATTAGTGGCTTGGACAAAGCAGGGTCTGATGGCATTTGCAGGCTGACAAGGCAAAACAGAATGGGTGGAGGGGGCAGAAGAAATACCTTATAGACTTTGGAGAAGAAGCCACTCCCGATAAGCTCAGCACTGAAATTTTCCCAGAATTCCAGTTTACGGACAGCCGTGCGAAGCTTCTGCCATCGCTCCACATGGTAGTATTTGTCTGAAGACTCACCATAAAGGGTAGGACTGGTGGGCTCTGATGACACATCCACATCACACATCGTGGAGATGTCCGCTGGGAAAACAGAGACTGAAAAGTTAGGGCGAACCCTCTACAAAATAATGATTTTTTTGTCCTGGGATTAGTTATTATAGTTATTACTTCATTTTCACAACAAACAGGTTGAGAAAATAATCACTTTGTGCCTCTGCAATGTTAAATAAAAAACTCTGGGAATGTAGACAGTCTTGCTAAATGTATTTTTGAAATTAGGCTCATCACCAATGAGACTTGAAAGGGCCAATCAGCTAACACTGCTTCTTTCCATCTAGTGTCTTTCTAGGCGACGTCGGGGCAAGTTAAAGCAGGCTCGTACAAAACCTCCACCATCTTCGACTGCATAAAATTACCTTTAGGGCACAAAATCTTAGAAAGCCGCTCCACTGAGTTGGTGGAGGGCTGACGTTGCTATGATGTTCTCCAAAGCTGCAGAGCAGGGACTAGACCTCCCAGCTGTAGACCATGATGGCGGAGCTGGAGTTCATCATCAGGATGACAAACTCACTAAAGAGGCAGCTGGTTATGGCTCCGTTATTCAGTTGTTGCAAAGTATATAAATGCCATTCACATGCTCGCAACATGCCCTTAAAGGATCTGTGATAATTATGTTCACACTGTGAACATATTCCAACTCTGTTTCAGTTTAAGCGTTATTTTCAATAAACAGCATGCTCTAAAAAAGGTTTTGTCTAACTCCCATTTCTTCTTCTTGCATGTTGAAGTTCTACTTGGACCCTTGTTAAGATTCAACCATGCAAAATATGATTCTTTGCCATTTTTCCAGTGCTCTTAAACTTTTGATCTGGACTGTATATTAGACCACATATGTATTTGCTCACTGCTGCTAAACTGAACACACCAACCAAAAGGGCAATTTATGCATTTAACAGCATGAAAGCAACTACAGACCAACGAGACGCTCACAAAAGGTATAATTTCACACTTACACTAGGCAGCATAGATGAGGGAAAACGCTTTCACTTAACAGGCTGCAGCAAAGGTGATAAAAAAAAAAGATTTTTAAAATGATTAAAATGAGGGCAGGGCTGCTTGCTGAACACAGAATCTTTCTAAAAATTGTTTAGTAACTGTTTCTATCTTCAACACAACACAGTCAAGAGTCAATCTGGACTATCAGTGAATTACTAATAAATAAGACAGTATATAATATGTCCTGCATCTGGAGCTAAGACAGTAACAAGAACTTCAAGTCCGGTTATCAGAAGGACAAAGACGAGGAGATTTCTGTTCAACTGTCTTGAAAGTCTGCTTTACGTGAGTTGGAAGAGCGTGTTTATCGTTAGTGCATTGTAGTGTAGTGTCAACATGCCTAAGTCCACAAAAAGACTGGCAGGCAGCAGACGTCCACACAGACC